ATTGCACTGGCTTCCTGTCCGTTTCCGAATTATATTCAAGATATTGCTCATTGTGTACAAGTGCTTACATGACATGGCTCCCCCATACCTGAATGCTATAAAATCAAGGAAAAATTTGCGCCCTCTCAGATCTACAACCATGGAGTATCTAGAAGAAAAAAGATCTCATCTGGTGACCTATGGTGACAGATCTTTTTACGTTGCTGGCCCTAAACTGTGGAATGACCTCCCACTTCAAATTAKGAAAAGTTCTTCAATCCAATTATTTAAAAATGAACTGAAAACTCATTTATTCAAAAACTTTGTCTCCTCTGGTTCAAAGTGAACACCAAATAACTATGACATTTCATTAATATTGTAACATACGTCTGTTATTTATTTTATTTCTCATTGTGAAGCGCCATGAATTTTGATAWGTGCGCTATATAAGTTCCATTATTARTATTATTATTAATTTTCCTTAGYACAGCGGATGGAGGTTAAGTTTTTRATGACAACATTTTGCATGTTTGTTTTAACTGTTTGATCGCCTCATTGTTTGGTTGAATGTCAACTTTTGCTAAGGGGGGAGACAATATTTCGCCTCTAATTAGACACGTTCTAAGAGGAAGATCAGAGAAAGGAGTTTAGTTATAGACTAAATTTTAAAATGTTGCTAGTTAAAATTGTCATTGAATAACTGATAATACACACGATTTCAAAGACAGAAAATAAGTAAGAGGAAAATATTAAATCTTAGATTTTTCTACTAGAAAAGTCTTTGCAGTCTTTTTTGCAAATTTTATCAATTAATATTGAAAATGACTTTTGAATAGATCTAAATCACAGCATGGTCATTTATAACTTGCAGATCAAATTGTAATAAGCACTATGGTTTTTCTTGAGCGCACGCGTGCGCTATAGTTCCNCATGATGGCTTTGAAAAATTTGCACACTCTCAGATCTACAACCATGGAGTATCATGGATATAGAAGAACAATGATCTCGTCTGGTGACCTATGGTGACAGATCGTTTTACGTTGCTGGCCCTAAACTGTGGAATGACCTCCCACTTCAAATTAGGAAAAGTTCTTCAATCCAATTATTTAAAAGAGAACTGAAAACTCATTTGTTCAAGAACTTTGTCTCCTCTGGTTCAAAGTGAACACCAAATAACTATGACATTTCATTAATATTGTAACATACGTACGCCTGTTATTTATTTTATTTCTTAAGGCCTATTTACACGGCACGATTTGCTGCGCGCGACTTGACATATACGGCAAAATCAGCTCAAAATCGGGTCTTGTCGATCGAGATTGGGACTGAAACTAGTTGATTCCAAAACAAAATGGCGGATTTCTATGAAAACGTCTTTACCGGTAATTAAACAHGAAGTGCAAAAATTCTGAATGATCTCATCAAATAACAAGGTAGACATGATTATTTACTGCACTTCTCAACTGTGTATAGTGGCATTTTACAAGAAACATTTGCTGTAATGACGAGTAAATTGCTCACGTTTTTTTCGTGCCGCGCGCGACAAGTTGTGCTCGTGTAAATGGTACCAAAATTTGCTGTATATGTCAAGTCGCGCACGGCAAATCTTTCTGTGTAAATGGGCCTTTATTGTGAAGCGCCATGAATTTTGATATGTGCACTATATMAGTTCCATTATCATTATTATTATTATTAATTTTCCTATGTACAGCGGATGGCGGTTAAGTTTTTAATGGCAACATTTTGCATGTTTGTTACTATTTGATCGCCTCATTGTTTGGTTGAATGTCAACTTTTGCTAAGGGGGGAGACAATATTTTGCCTCTAATTAGMCACATTTGAAGAGATCAGAGAATGGAGTTTAGTTATAGACTAAATTTTAAAATGTTGCTAGTTAAAATTGTCATTGGATAACTGATAATACACACGATTTTAAAGACAGAAAATAAGTAAGAGATTAGAGATTAGTCTTTGCAGTCTTTTTATTTATTTATTTTTTTGAGTGATTTCCCTCAATTAATCAATCTATTAATCTACTATCAAGAAAAAGCTGTTTTATTTCTTAATAWACATCGGTTGTACATGTACATATTGCAAACCTTCCATCGATCTGCAAATTTTATCAATTAATATTGAAAATGACTTTTGAATAGATCTAAATCACAGCA